AGAGAGAGAGAGGGGGGGGAAAGAGGGGGGGCTAGGAAGGAAATAATAGAATAGTCTTTACATATGTATCGCTGGACTGACATATTATGAATTGCGCTGCTTAAAATGCCGAAGACGGATCTCGTCGAGCGTTCGTTCGACCGAGGTGATATGACGCATATAATGCACATACAGTTTAACGCGACGTGCGCGTGCGAACACATTCTCCTCAACTGAGTGTATAATATCAACCAAGAGTGGACGAGGGTTCAGAAAAAAAACTGGAACGACGAGCAGAAAAGGACACAAGCCCTGACTCGTTACTCGCACGAGAAAAGACAGTCCTTTAAATTTAACGTTTTTCTTTTTCCATTAAGATCGTAATAATATCGTAAGTATAACAATTGTTTGTAACATTATATTGATTATAAAAAATAATGAGTTAAGAAACTCCAAATAAGAGGAAAAGTTTCTTTTCAAGTTGATTCACTTATTTTTAATTATAGTTGCGATATATCCGCGATACACGGAATCCTGTCGCTCTTGTCCCTTCGATTTTATAGACAATTGCCCTCGCGAAATTTCCGTATTAGATCGTCTCGATCGATCGAATGGATCGTGCCATCATAATGCACCCTTAATTCGATTTCGTATACCCCCATTGTGTCAAATTGGATTGAATGCCGCCGTGAAATATTTGCTTAGGATTTGGCAGGTAGCTAGCTGGTTTCCACGTCGCGCACGGTACACAGAACAAACTTAGGGGAAGGGAAGGAAGGGCGACGAAGGATGACGGGGGCGAGAGAGGAAGTAAGAGAAAGAAACGGATACGAGAAAGTGCAGAAAACAGACAGGCAACGGCCTAGTCTTGCCTATGTAGAAACATTTTACTACCTCTGCTTGCATAATTTAGGCGCACCTTTCGGGGTTCAATCCTGAGAGGGCCACGACCCACTTGCACTTTGTTCTGCGATCGAGGATTCACGAGAGCGCGAAAACATTCGTACGAAATACTAGCACAAAACCAATTCTG